GCCAATATCGTGCAACCTGATACAAGATGATCAATCGTTTCTGGATATTCATCACAGAATCTGCATTTTGGGCTAACACAATATTTTAGTATATGTGCTTGATAATTCCTAGTTAACAAGCATTGGTCCTGTGCAGCAAGGATAAAACCTTCAGTTTCAGCTTTCAACCTTGCACTACGTAGCCACTGATGTTTTGTCTACGTCAGCTTGTTTGGTGCGGGCAGAGTACTGGCCATGAAGCGGTTTATCTTGCCATTGTTTCTGTATCTGGTCGATTGCATTTGTCTTTGTTTTCTTTTTTAAGTATTTTGCAGCTTCAGTTAACTATGCTTTACTTGTATTTCTGCGCCCATTTGAAACTCCATTATTATTATTATTATTATTATTATTATTATTAATGGGATTATCTTTTAAGGCCGCAAGCGCTTACTCATTTCTGAACTCGCTTGAGAGATGAAGTCAATTTTTGAATCAAGACAAGAATGTTTTCATTGTCAAGAGACGTCTTCATAGAGAAAATTGTTAATTACAGTAATCTCTTTTGTCATTCTATCTATCTATCTATTTTTCTCTCTTGATATATGTTTGCATCTATCTATTCATCTATCTCAGTCTTTTCATAGCTATCCATCTATTTTCCTGTTGATATATATTTTTCTGTTTATATCTATGTTTATCCATCTCAGTGTTTTTCTCTCTCTCTCTCTCTCTCTCTCTATATATATATATATATATATATATATATATATATATATATATATATCAGTCTATTCATATCTATCTCAGTCTATTTGTATCTATCTATTTATCTTTGTTTATATCTATTTATCTATCTCAGTCTATTCATATCTATCTATCTATCTATCTATCTATCTATCTATCTATCTATCTATCTATCTATCTATCCCACTCTCTTCCTATCTATCTATCTATCTATCTATCTCAGTCCATTCATATCTATCTATCTATCTATCTATCTATCTATCTATCTATCTATCTATCTGTCTGTCTGTCTTTCTGTCTGTCAGTATGAAAGGTAAAGTACTGAAGAATTGTTAATTCTCAGTCTTCCATAATGGTTCCAGGCTGACGCTCGTACCATTTTCAGCATGTAGTATTGGCCTTCCTGTGAGTATTCTGCCCAATTTTATCTTATCAATATTTGTATTCCTTCGGTGTCACGATTCGACAGACAGATATTCTGTACTCAATAATTTCAACATGTCGTTCACATACCGTGTATACTCATGTATAAGCCGAGATATATGTGACAAAAAACAATGATTAAATAAGGTTAGGTTTATATTCGAGATCAATATTAACCTATTTCAATATTGTTCTTAAAATAATCGAGCATTATTGCTTTACAATGAAACACGGTTTTACTTAAATTTTAGAAACATTTTACAGTATAGTTTTAGTACTCTTTATCTATACAGGTTATTGTCGACTTAAGGCCACGATTGGTTACAACTGACTGTTCGTACATCAATCTGGTTGTAAGTAGACCTGTAATTAAAATTGCAATCTTTTTATGTTTCTTTAGGTATTATTGCATTTTTTTTTATAATTGTGACGGTTTCTTTACGTTTAATACTATTGGTATCATGTCTCTACACATTGTTTTCTTTGTTATTTTTGCGTTTGCCAGGTTTAAGTTAAATACTGTATACTAGAGAACAGTTGGTTTAATATTTGCTAAACATACAATATGCAAGTGCAAGAAATAGAAAACATTTTAGTTACAAAACAGACCAAAATACATACAAATACAAGGCATCTTATCAGCCGCTGGGATTTTTATTTATTTATTTTCTTTTTATTTTATTTTATTTTTTTTCTTGTTATAGATCGTAAATGTTGTCAGCTGCGGCAGGCGTCGGGGTAACCAGTGGATTTTTTTTTCACAATCCCGGTGTGCTTTGTCTGATTTGTACACCAAATGTGGAAACACTTACCCTGCCAGACGCGGAACAGTCGTGGCTAGAGGTATCAATTCGCTGTCGTGATCGTGAAGCTTTTTAGGTTTATTATGAAAAACTTCGGGATGCTTGCTATTAGACTTTACAAATGAGGAAAACGAAGAATGTCAAATAAACCTATGTACACTAATAGGTGTGTCCAAATCGTCACGTTGGGTACTTTTGTAAGTGGTGGTAATATGCTAAGTAGTCCACCACTAGCAATGGTTTATCTACTTCACGCCGCTGGTGAGTATTGTATTTTGTTGATGTTATAAAGATTACCATTTTCATTTCCAACCTCCGTTTTGGTTATTCCTCATTCAACAACCCTTTCTACGTTACAACACCGCTTCAAGTCAAGGGTCAAATGTCAACTTTCCTCCTAATTTTCATAATCTTCTCTTCCTACCACCCCTTCTTACATTCCTATCACCACCATATTTATCACTTCCATTTAAACGGCATATCTCTACTATGAGTGACTTTTGGGCATCGTATTAGATAAATTTTGGTGTGAACATATTAAAGTAATTTAAAAGATAGTGGATATTCTTTCTAACAGCGAGTCGACAAAGGTTAAAAAATCGTGACACTTTTACGCGACTTAACTGAGATATCAGTTAGACATTCATTCCTGCGAAATTTACGAAGTTCACGAGAGATAATGATAATTAGATCGAATAAAGTTTTAATGATTAACGCGACGCTATCTATTATTAAAATACCAAGCTGAGAATTGTAGAATTAAATGGACTGATAAATTCCACATAAACAATTCTAGAACTTGTTATCATGAAAATATTTAGAACTTTTATGATTAACTGTTATGTACTATCAGTCCTTGCTGTTTGAAACTTAAAGCGTCAACTAGCAAGGATCAATACAAACTTTCTCAGACAAGCCAATAACATCTGTTGATTTTTTTACATATCTAAGAAGCGAGATGAATTCTACTGAAAAGGATGTGAAAATTTGCATAGCTAAAGCCTGGGCCGCCTTGTATAAAATGGACGTAATCTGGAGAATCTGATCACCCAGACAACCTCAAGCGGATATTCTTTCGGGCGACTGTGTTAATGTATGGAGACACTGTCTGGACATTGAATAAAACCCTATAGTCTAAGCTTGATGGAACCTACACTCAGAGGCTGAGAGCTATACTTTACATCTTCCGGAGACGACATCCAACTATATCACAGGTCTTTGAAACCATGATATTTCTACAATCTTGGGAAAAGTATGAATCCACCTGTCCCCCCCAGCTATAGGTTAATAAGTAGGAATTGTATCAGTAAATTATAATAATTATTATCGATTTTACAATCTAAAAAGATATTCTGGCTTTAAATAAGATGTAAAAGGATAAGCCGTAAAAAACAAATCAATCAATCATGGGATTTGTTATAAAGATAAATATTTGTTTTAAATCAGATGAATTAAACTTTAAATCAGCTAATATTTCTCAAATAAAGTTTCAGAAAAGTATATTTTATTTTTGAAAGATTTAATAAAGAGAATTACATTGTGCTGACAGATGGTTAAAATGGCGTTAAATAAGCGATTTTAACGATCAAAACAAGAACTCCTTCCAGTCAATTTAATATATACGCTTCTAAAACTGAATTCTTAGGCTTCAACCAGCAAGTATCAATACAAACTGTCTCAGATGAATCAATAAAATCTGTCTAATCTTTTACATACCTAGGAAACGAGATGAATTCTACTGAAAAGGATGTGAAATTTTGCATAGGTAAAGCCTGGGCTGGCTTGTATAAAATGGATGTAATATAGAGTATCTGATCAACCAGGCAATCTCAAGCGGAAATTCTTTCGGGCCACTGTGTTAATGTATGGAGTCACTGCCTAGACATTAACTAAAACCCTATAGTCTAAGCTTGATGGAACCTACACTCGGATGCTGAGAGCTATACTTAACATCTTCGGGAGACAACATCCAATAATAATGCAAAAGGAAATTTGAGTTCACGTTGGTATAGTACGCCGAAAGATTCACATCCTCCGGATGCCCTATCAAAATATTACCATGCCCCACGGGTGGGGCATGCGCCCCACGGGTAGGGCATGCGCCCCACATTGGCAATCATTGATGTACGCTATATTTGCATGTTTCTCTATTTTACAAATTAGGAAATAAATCTCTATAAGAATGACATAGACAGTATTCTGACACAAAGTTTTTTTTGTGAAGTTAGGCCTAAATTCTTTAAAAACCCGTATTTTCTTGTGTATAATACAAGTCTAAATACAAACTGTCTCAGGCGAATCGATAAAATCTGCCGAATCGTTTACATATTCGGAAGCGAAATAAATTCTCCTGAAAAGAGCTAAAGCGTGGGTCATCTTAAATAAAATTGATACAATCTGGAAACCTACTCTACCAGACAGCATCAAAGGAAGATTCTTTCGAGTCACTGTAGAGACGGTTTTAAGGTATGGTGCCACTGTTTGGGTATTAACTTAAACCCTAGAATCTAAACTCGGTGGATCCTACCCTCGGATGGTGAGAGCTATATTAAATATCTCTTGGAGACAACATCCAACTAAATCACTGCTGTATAGATCCGTCCCTGATATTCCTACAATCTTACGCGAACTCGAAATGTACCCTGCAGGACATTGCTGGAGAGCAAAACAAGAATTCGCGAATGATCTACTGCTCTGGTCACCTAGCAGTGGAGCAAGACAAGTCGTTTGCCCAGCAACCATCGACGTTGACCAGCTATGTTATGACAATGAATGCCACCTTAATAACCTTCCGACCTTGATGCAGGACCATGATGGATGGCGTGATAGACTTATAAATGTCCGAGCTAGGTCGACCGAATAAAGTATCAGTGCACATTGAATGCTGGACAATCTCCTCACAGATGAAGAGACTTGAAGGAACAAAAATGTGGTTCTACAGAAGCATTATGAGAATACCATGCGCGTAAGTGAATATAACAAATCCAACTGGAATTGGAACTCGGCTCATTAATTAACAATTCCGAGCCATTATCCATTACGTCATTCTAGATTACAGCACCTGTTATTGATAAGCGGTTACCCATCTAAGTACTGACCAGGCTCTATGTTGCTTAAATTTGGGGATCGTACAGGAACCGATGCTTCAACATGATGTGGCCGTAGGCAGCGCAAAGTATTAAAAAAACAAGAAAATTTAATAAGAAACAAAAGATTACTGAACTGTTAATTAATATCATTCCTCCTATATGACAGTGAATGCTTGACAATCTCTTCATAAATGAAGAGACTTGAAGCAACAGAAATGTAGTTCTACAGAAGGATACTGAGAATACCATAGATCGAAAAAGGGAGCCACGACGAAGTTTTAGATAATGAGAAAAGGGGGCTTTGAAAATTTGATTTTCATAGGACAGATTCAAGACAAGAGGAACAAGATGAAATCAATACATAACCCACCTAACGTGCTTGAGTAAATGCATTGGCAAAGCGAAGTTTAGGAGACAGAACAAAAAGACAGATTTTTAAAAGCTATAAAGTACAGCCTCGCACTTTCCATCATCTGTTAAAATATTTCCTATATATCTAAATTGTTACATAAGTTTGATGTCGATATCTCCAATCTATAATTCTCATGTTGGACTGTGGCTCTTCTTGAAGTTGACATTTAGTCCTTTCTTCTCGCTTTCCTTCGCTGTGGGAGTTATTGTAGTTTTGTGACAGTTTCTTCTATTAAAACTGTCTCATCTGCATATCTTATACTATTAAGATTGTAGCCACCAATAAGGAAACCGAGTAGGATTTCTAATTCTATTAGAATCACTTAAATTTATCGGTTGAATAAGTCCGGTGAGAAGACGCATCCTTGTCTCTCACCCCTTTCTATTTTTGTATATTTACTGAGGCCATTTTCTATCCGTATGCAGGAACTTTGCTGCAAATATAGATTCTTGATCATTCTAATATCTTTTACAAATATGTCAAGGTCTTTTTGACATACTTTATCAAACGCCTTTACATAATCGATTGTGTGAAAACTGTTCAAACTTTCCTTATATTTGATCGCTTTCGGATATTCGATTAACCATTATTAAGGATGATTTTTTTTTAACTGAATGTCTGGACTTTTAGATCTGTGCATTCCCATCAATATAGATACCTATATATAAAAAATATATATGGGGTTAAAAATAAGAAAAATAATGATAATGACTTATAGAATGGCCAAAATATAGGAAGCATTTTTACGCAATTTGCACCGAGGAAAGCAAACACTTGTACAAAAAGAAGAAAAAATTAATTAAATGATTAATCACAGTAACTTGACAGTCGTCTTTACTGAAACTTGCATATACCCAGGGTGTATCAAAATACTTTTACAAAATTTGGGGACTGGTTTCTCCCGCCAAAACAAGGACAAAAGTCTTTATAAACATATGTCCGCGAATCCTTCATTTTTAAGCTATTAAGTTTGAAATTTACGGTAGACGCTGGTAAACGTGAGGTAGATGTCTCTGTGTTACCATGTAGATTAGGTTACATTTGTCATTCGTGTACACCCGTGTCTAGTCTGTTTTCAAGGTTTAATGTGTGTAGTAGTGAGTTAGATGAGAAGTGTTCCGTTTAACAATGGCAGGATATTCACGTCGTGAGCGGGCAGATATGATCTTTACATACGGCTGCTTGAAACGTAAGGGACGCGAGCTTCTATGACTGTATCAGATTGCTCTTGAAGACTGAAGACAGCCGATACAGACATTTGTCTTTGTTTTGCTGTGAGGAACCTACCCTCAAAGTTTGTAAAAGCATTTTTTATAAACCCTATATATATATATATATATATATATATATATATATATATATATATATATATATATATTTAAATTTAACAGTTTATGAATGTCTATTATTTATCTACATTAAAACAAAGCAACCCATACTCAACAAAATTACATTTCAAACTCGCTACAATACGTTACATTGCATCTAGACATATGCTTCTGTTGTTAATATTTCGGCCTCTAACGTGGTATGACGTCATAGAACCGCATCTGCGTCTGCTATTCCACGATCGTTATAGTCGCATAGCAATCTTCTACGTCAACATAACAGAATATCACCTTTGATGGTGAATATCTTTTTTTTAAATTGTCCGTAGAAGCACTCGGAAGATGGCACATGTGAGCCGAAAGCTTAGATCAAGTAGCAACTTAAAAAGCATCCAAATGTTGGACAATTTTTGTCTTTATTTTCACCCGAAATTAAAGCAAACATTCGAACATTAAAACGGCTTATGATCAGACATAATAGACATTCATTGTCTGTTATATTTAACAATATATGTTTAAATAATAATCTTCTGCCCCAGTACACTAGTCATGAAGAACGGTGCTTCAGGTACTGATTAAAAATCAGTTAATCAACACCTGATGGCCGCATTGTGCATGAAATAGAGTTTTACTAACGGTTTTACTAACGGTGTAAAAGTATATATATATATATATATATATATATATATATATATATATATATAGTGAATATAGAAGTTCAACACTTAGAGGCGACAGTCTGTTTCATGCTAGACGCAATTGTCATGCCACGATTGCGTGTAGCATGAAACAGACTGTCGCCCTAAGTGTTGAACTTCTATATTCACTTTTGTATTTACACACGCTCTATCTCTGATATTGAGCACTTTATCCTATAAATATAGCACACCTTAAGACTATATTTCTTCATATATATATATATATATATATATATATATATATATATATATATATACGTGTACGCATGTGTGTATATATTTATGTTTGCGCATGTATATATATATATATATATATATATATATGTGTGTGTGTGTGTGTGTGTGTATATATATATATATATATATATATATATATATATATATATATATATATATATATATATAGAAACGTAAGGGGAGAGAGAAAGGCTTAAAGAACAAGGAAAAGAATATAAAGTGATAGAAAAAGATGGAAAGTAATGAGATTTCATCTTTTTTTCTACCAATTTAAGTTGTCACATTGATATTGGCAGCCATTCCGGCTGAAAAAGTAAGTTGTCATATTTGAATTTCTTGAGGGAAATGATTCATAAGATGCGCTTCAGTGCGCATGTCGCTGGTGAGTTTTCCTTTTGCACCAGTTGTCGTCGGGAAAATCAAGTTGTGAATATCGAATTTTAACAGGAAGACACGCCCTGTACTATCAAATGTCGAGCATAACAGAATGCTCTAAAAATAATATGGATATGTTGCCAGGAATAGCTTTTGACCAAATTAAAAACTTTTTATTCTTTTTTTTTTCTTTTTTGGGGCTCCCGAGTTCAAGCACATTAGATGCATTCCAAAAGCTAAACAAAGTACGAAGAAATAGGAGAATTCCGCGAGAAACAGCGAAAAGAGTGCTGAACTGTTATGCAATATCAATCCTCTTGTATGACAATGGGTGCACAGATGAATAGAAAAAAAGAGGCAGCAGAAATGTTGTTCTACAGAAGAATGATGAGAATTCCATGGACAGATTGTGTAATTCTTAAGAAAAAGTACTCCTGCGCAAAGTTAGAGAGAGCTGGGGAACGATGGGTTTGGAGAATTTGACACTGACAGGACATCTCAAGGGCAGGAGTGATAGGGGACATTATCAAGTCATCTACCTAGAATGAGCCTCTGGGATTGGTTGATTGGCTTGTTTTTTTTTTTTTTACGGCTTTTGGGTTGAAAGCCGAAACGTATTTTTAATTGTAAAAACAATGCGTTTTATCGAGAGTGAATATTGCAGTAACAATTCTTTGAGAATATTTTTTTTCAGATACAATTATTACTAATTAATCCATAGCGGGGAGAGAAGATAGATTCATACTATTCCCAAGCATATTTGTGTGTAAGTAAATATAACGAACGCATCGAAAATTTGTAGATTGAACATAGTTATATAGTTATATATATATATATATATATATATATATATATATCAAATATTTTTATTTAAAAGTATTTAAGATCGCAACATAAAAATTTCTATGTTTTGGAACTTGTTCCGTCATTAGGCGATGTTGGGTAACTTATGAGAAAAAGGATTTCCTTTTGAAAACAGAAAACAATACGATAGCTTATTTAAGAGTTAAAAAGGAAGGGGGAACAAGATTTCAAAATTTTATGGCTATGTTTAGGTTAACCAATCAAAACTTGGTTCAAGGCTAACGCAGAAAAGTGGGAAATATTGGTTGAAGGTTAGGAGTAGGTGTGTTATTCATTCATGTCTTAATGAACTGTAATTGTTAATATTAACACCATTAACTTACATCCGGTTGAATATAACTTCAAGATGCATTGAAATAGATAGATATATCTAACAAAAAGTTAATTTTAAAGAATGTCAGAATTTTTTAAAACTATTTTTGTATATACTTTAGAACTATCTTAAAGAGGCCTCTAGTGTGATTAAATAATTTATATATATATATATATATATATATATATATATATATATATATATATATTATTTTTGAACCTAAAATACAATACCTATTATATTGAATGTGCAATAAAACATGGCAACATTCAAGGAAATAAATAAATATTATATGTAACATTATATATTGATAAAATAATGGATTTGTAATATATAGATTTTTAAAGAAAAATACTATTAACTATATTCTAAAGCAAATATACAATACCTACAAATTACAATTAGTTCATTACGTAGATCATTATTTTTAGGACACTTGATATGAAGCTTTTCATTTAGACGCATGCACTGTCGATTCTTAATCTGTCTGCTCTTTCTCTTTATATATATATATATATATATATATATATATGTGTGTGTGTGTGTGTGTATTTTGGCAGCATGTTTTAATAAGGACATGCCTTATCACAACTATTTTTGTCTTAGGAAAAAACAAGAGCCTCATGACGACATTCAGCTAATGTCGAAAGTACTCGGAATATAAATAATATGCATCAACGTGGTAATATTCTTTCTCCTTTTAATAAGAATATTAAGAAACTCGTCCATAATTACGAGTGGATTCTATTAATGATAAGTTGATAAAACTCCTCTAAATTATTTAATGAGACATGTCTTAATATATATATATATATATATATATATATATATATATATATATATATATAT